CTCTCTCTCTCTCTCTCTCTCTCTCTCTCTCTCTCTCTCCTCCTGTTGTTGTTGTGGTTGTACTCTTGTTGCTTGCGTTGGAGCACCCCTGTCTATGCCTGCGGGAGGATGCCTAAGAGCGTGGTGAGCGGCAACGGCGGAGGTGACCCCTACAAGGAGGAGATCGCCCAACTCCGTGCACTTTTGGCGGAGGGCGGGTTTGACAAGGATGCGTTGGAGGGGCGCTACCTGAACCAGCTACGGCGGGCCCGGCAGCTGGGGGTGCAGCTGGAGGCGGAAAAAACCCACAGTCGCCAACTCTCGGCGCAGCTGGCGGCGCTGCAGGCGAAGGCGCAGGACGCAAATAGCAGCAGAGGCGTTGAGCCCTCGAAGGGGCGTGGGCGGCAGGCGGAGGGCGGCGATCAGAGTGAGGAGCAGCAAAGTACGACGGTCGCGCTTAAGGAGCGCCTCGAGCGGGCGTACATGCAGCTGAACGAAAGTAAACTGCAGCTGGAGGAGCAGAAGAAGGAGTCGCAGCGCCTGCGCAAGCTGCTGCAGCAGGAGATTGGTGGTACCCCACATGAATTAGAGACGCTGCTGAAGGGCGCAGCGGAGAGTGGCGCGGGTTGGCGCGGCCGGGCGCAGCAGATCGTGCTGCTGAAAGGCAAAGTAAAGGAATTAGAGCGAACGCTGGCCGCAACGGCGGCTGCCGTGGCTGCTTCAGCGAATTCGGACGGAGAGGAGAGCAGCGGTGGGGGCGGGACGGCGCCTCTGCGTGGACGGGCCGGCGGGGCGTCGGTAGCCACCGACACCGTCACCGCGTTGACGTCGCGTAACCGCGACTTGGATGACGTGGCGCGTGCGCGCGTGGCGGAGCTTCAGGGTCGTCGCCTTCTGCAGCTGCGGGAGGTGCAAGAGGAACTCGACAAGCGCACGGCGGAGCTGGAGGCGCAGCGGCGGCGCGCGGAGGCGGCGGCGGCGCGCCACGTCAATTTGGAGGCAGACAACCACGCCCTCCGCGAGCACCTGCGGACGGTGCTGGCGAAGACGGAGAACGACAACCTCCTCATCGACGCCTACAAGGAGGAGCTGACGGAGCTGCAGCAGGCGCTGCATGCGGCGCGGATGCAGCTGCAGGAATGGGAGGCGTGGGAGGGTGGGGGCCCGCCGAGAGGGCGCGGGGCAACGGCAGCGAGGCAGCGGGAGCGGCGCAAGAGCAACTCCCCCCGTCTGAGGGACGAGAAGCTCGACGCGGACACGGCAGTGGCGCTTGCGGGGGCCGACGCGGCAATTGAGATAAACCGCTTGAGGATAGAAAACGAGGAGCTCCGGATGCGGCTGCTCCGCTGCGGGGGCCGCGACGGCGGCAGCAGTAGTGGTGCTAGTGGGAGTCCGCCCCGCCCGGGCCCCGGCGATACGCCCCGCGGGGCGAACGACGACACGGCCCTCGTCCTGCACTGGCTGCGGACGGTGGCCCCAGCGCCGCCGACTGCGCAGAGTTGCGGTGGTGCCTGGCAGGCCGCCGTGGCGGAGGTCCTTCGCCGGGCGCACGCCGCGGTGTGTTTCCTGGAGCAGCAGCGCGAAGAGGACGGCGCCCGGCTCAGCCGCTGCTACGAGGCCATGCAGCGTCCGCAGGAGGAGCAGAAGCGGCGCGGCGCAGGAGGGTCGGTGCGGCGGGGAAACAAACCCAGCGACGGCGGCGGCAGCGTCGACGACGACGACGACGGGGGCGCCGAGGCTGCGATGATGGCAGACGTCGTTCTGCAGGAGAACCGAGCGCTGAAGAAGCGGCTGAAAGTGCTGCAGGCGTTGATGGAAAAGGAGCGGGCGGCGTATGAGTCCCTCCGCGTCGCCGCCTCGGACGCCCTGCCCGGCAACGCTGCCGCCCCTGTGGCCCACGCGACTGCTGCCGCCACCTCCACCCCCAACAACGGCGACGAGCAGGCTGCAGAAGGGGGTATTGGCGAGGCACCAGTTACCGCCGCGGCGTATCGGCAGCTAAGGTCGCAGTACGAAGAGCTGCGCTGTGCCTTTAACTCTCTTCAGAAGGAGCGCCTTCGGCGTGGTGGCGCCTAATGCCTCTGTTGTTGCTGTTTTTTTTTGTGCATTTGTGCCCACAGCGGCGTGGAATCCGTGTTCACCCTGCTGTGCTGCAGCGGCTCTAGGTATGGGCGCCGCAGCACGAGGCTTCTCATGCGTCGTCGTCGTCGTCGTCTCCCTCCCTCGTCCCTCCTCCCTCTCCGCTGCCCGCCGACGTCTCACGTGTGTCTCTCTCCTCGCGCCCCTCTTTCTCTCTTCTTGGTCGACAGCGGCCGCAGGTGGGGAAGCGAAGCAGCAGGAAGAAGGAGAAGCACGTGGAGGAAGAGGAGACGCTGGCAATAGGGTGCGGCCACGGCGGAGGCAAGGATGCATACGTGCGGGCAGCGCGTGGCGGAGATTTTGACGTTCGCGGTGACGGCGGGTTTTGTGGGCGTGCTGCTCGTGGTGTCCAGCAGCCTCGTCCCGTTTGGCCCCTCGCAGGCCTCGCCCGTCATCGCCGCCTTCGAAGTCTCTATGTCGCCGCTGATGCAGATGCAGATGCCGCTCATCTACGCGCAGGGGGCGGACCCGCCGCCGCTGCGGGACTACGTCTTTTTTCGTTTTACGCTGAAGGCCGACTTCTCGCCCGTGTGGGACTGGAACACGAAGGCGGTGTACGTCGCCTGCGTCGCCCGCTACCGCACGGACCAGTACGTCGTGAACGAGGTGACGCTGCTGGACACCGTGCTGAAAAGCAGGGAGGCGGCGGCGCGGTGGTGGCTTGACAACGCCCAGAAGTACCCGCTGGAGGAGGCCCACCTCGGGGCCCTGGCGGGGGTGCAGGTGCGGCTCTCCCTTCGCTACCAGGTGCTGCGGTACTGCGGGTACTCGCCTGTGTTTGAGGTGTCGCCCGTGGGAACGGCGCCCCCCGCGTTTACGCTCCCGCGAGCCTACGCCTCTCCGCCGCGGGGCGAAAGCCCGGCAGCCACGGGTTAGCCCCTGCGTCGCACTGCAGCCGAGGGAAGACAGAGGCGGAGAGGTGTGGGGCGGGGAGCGCCAAGACTTATATGTTTATATATTTATATACTTTTCTGTGCGTGCCCGTGTGAGTGTCTTCATCCTCTGGTGGACGATTCCCTTTTTCTCCGCAAGCACGGCGGTGGCGGTCCCTTGTTTTTGTACTCTGCGCGCGTGGGGCTCCGGCTGAGCACAACCCCCCAGGAGAGAAAAAAGCACAAAAAAAAAACTTTTTCTTCACACGAGCGAGGAGAGGCGGATGAAGGAATAAAAATTAAAAAAAAATAAAAGAAGAGCAAGTCGGCTGCGGTGGTGGTTTTGGTGTGTTGTATGCCGCCGTTCACGCCTCCAGTTATTATTTGTGCCTGTTGTCACTGTGTGATTTTCTCTCCCCCCTCCCCGCTGCCGCACGCATGGCGTGTCTTGCCCACCTTCGCTCTCCCGCTGCGCCGCGTGCCCGCAAGAAGCACGCAGAAGGTGGCTGGGGGGTGTGGGGCGGGGCGCTGTTAACGCACCGCGACACATACACACGCACACGCACGTGCGGAAAGACAGACAGGCAGACACACACATACACACCGGGGGCGAGGAGAGGAGGATGGCGCCCAAGAAGAAGAACGCCTACCCCTCCGTTAACCCGCAGCTGTACGAGAAGAGCATGAAGCCCTCCATGACGGTTGCCATGGGCTTCAAGAGTAGCCTCGTGGCCTCCTCCTGCTGGCGGGCGCAGGTGGACGCGGAGGAGCGGATCCACAGCAACTGGTCGAAAAAGTACAACCGACATGAAGAGCGGGGGCGCGTGGAGGCCCTCGAGCGCACGCTAGAGCGCGAGGCGGCGAAGGCCGAGGCCTACCGCAAGGACAACGACGCGCTGCAGTCCATACTCTTCCGCAAGGACGGGGAGAATGCGCACTGTGCGTCGGCTCTGTACCTGAAGGCACGCAACGCACTCTCGCCGCAGGAAAAGTACAAAACCCCGCAGACCTCCGCGCAGGACGTTGGCTGGTCGGTGCCGGAGGCGATGAAAAGCGAGGGCCACTTCGCCGCTTCTCGCATGGTGGGCCCGACGGAGCGGATGCATCAGTCGGCCACGGCTTATAGGAGGCCCGACGACGCCGACCACGCGGCGCTCTTCGGCTACACGCTTGAGCGCTCCTACTGAGCAAGGTAAAAAGATGTCCGCAGCCAAACATACAAACAACCAGGCGAAGGAACAATGTCATATGTATAGTTTGCTCCTACTAGTCGGAGGCGCCAGGGAGGACGCCGGCAAAACGAGAAAAAAAAAGGCAGAGACGAAACAACCACAGGCTGGGTCACGCCGCAGGGACCATGACAGCCAACCAACGACGACGACTTTTTTTTGTTGTTTTTCGTTACTGGTGCGGGAGCTCGGCCTCACCGCCACCATCACGCCTGTTTGTTTCGCTTTCTCCCTTCCTGCGTCTCCCTCTCTCATCTTACTTTATTTTTGTCCCCTCTTGCGGCGCCCTCCTTCGGCGAGGCGAGTCGGCTGCGACGTGATGGACAACAAACGAGCAAAAAAAGCTGGTGCTCCTCTTCTGTTATTTCGCCACTTCCTTTTGCTCTGCGCGGGAGGCGCGCAATGCGCAGAAACCTTTCACCGACGGCCTTTCCCCCGCCGCGGCGCCGCGAGGCGGACGGCTCCCGCTCTCTTAGCCCCGAAGCCGTCGAGGAGGGGCCGTGGGGCGGGGCCCGCGGCTGGGAGAGACACGAGGACGCCTACGCGCCGCACGCGGACTACGGGGCCGGGCGGCCGCGGGTGAGCGCGACGCTGCGGCCGCGGCCGGTGAAGGACGCGGGCCTGCAGAGGCTGTTGCGACGGCCCAGGCTGAGCAGCCGCCGGGGCTCCACACACCCCACCGACGGCGCCGGGCTGGAGGAACCGCGGCAGCAGCAGCGGCAGGAGCCGTCTTCGTCGCCCCACCGCGAGCAAAGGGGCGCAATTGGGGCAGGGGACGAGGCGGGTGCGGGGCAGAGCGGCGGCGGGCGCCGCGGCTGGGGACGACAGCCGCCGTCGGGTGCGGCAGCCACGCCGTCGCCCCGGCCTTTGGTGGACGTGCGAGCCGCCTTTGGGCGCGTGAGCAGCAGCGCCGCCGCCGCCGCGGAGCCTCGTGACAGCCGCAACGCCTCCGCGGGAAACGGGGCGACAGCGAAGCTTGTCACGCCGCGGTCGGCATCGCCGTTGTCGCCATACGCGGCGGCGTCGCGCGACGTGGGCGCGGCCCGTGCGTCGGCAGGGCCGGACTGGGAGGCGGCCGCCGCCGCCGCCGGGACGACCCCGCCGCGCGTACTCGTTGAACAGCCCTTAGCCGAGGCCAGCACGCAGGACCGCTACCGCGGATGGAAACCGTCGCCGTGCAGGAACGAAAACACCCTCACCAGTTCCGCGTGGGTCCCGGTGCACGGCACAGATGGCTTCTCGGTGATTCGCTCAACCACCCCCGGTGCTGAAGCGGCGGCGCAGTACGTGAATCCCAATGCCGCGGCCGAGCGCATTCTTTACATGCTGCTGCAACAAAATGAGGACGCAGCTCCAGTGGCGCCTTCTCAGCCGAGCACATGGAACAGCGAGAGAGGCGGAGTGAACAAGAGCAGCGAAAGCAGTCCGGCCCTCTTCCCCTCGGACGCTGTTGCACGACCGCGGCCCAGATTGCAGGTGACGCCGCAGGAAAGCCGACTGCTACTTGGCTTTTTGCGGGAAAAGGACCGTGAGATACTGCAGCTGCGTACTTCGCTGGCTATTAGTTATCGTTTTGCTGCCTACGCCGTGCATCGGCAGTACCCATGCAACCTGCCTGGCGTGTCCGCCGCGACGATGTTGTCGCGCGGCTCGGACGCGGCGGGAGGCGGCGTCAAGGACAGGAAGTCAGATCCAATGCCCTGGGTGAATCGGGCACCCCCGCACATCCATGGTCTCCCCAACGTCCCGCTGCCGCTTGGCCTTGCCCACAGCGTGGGGCAGGTATGTGGGGTGCTGTCTGTGATGAATGTAGAGGATATGTCCCGGAAGAAAATACCGGCGCGTTTTTTTCTGGGTTCGTGGCGCACGTACTTTGTGGTGGCCGACGACCGTGGCCTGGCCATCTACCGTAGTGAGGAGGATTACAGGCAGCACGCGTTCCAGCGGGTCCTGGTGGTGGTGCCTTTTAGGGACATGGAGTTTTTCTTGCCCTCGTTCCGCGACGTGTCCACGGTGGATGAGGACCTGCTCGACGTGGATGCCCTGGCGGATGCCCCGCATGTCCGGCAGGCGGGCGGCGGCGGCGGCAGCAGCGGCGGCCTTTTTTCCGCCCTCCTTCGGAAGGCCGGGGGGCCCAAGGGGGAACCTGCGCTGACGCGTAGGGAACCCGGGGCCGTGGCGGCCACCAACGACGACGAGGAACGCAGCAGCAGCAGTAAGGCGGCGGCGGCGGCGGATTCGCAGTCGGGCGGCGGCAGGGCCTCGCTGTACATGCGGCGCAGGCGGCCTGACCGGTATGATCAGCTGATGACCCGCATTGCCATTGAGCACGCCGGGGATATAGCGCACGCGTACTTTGGCTTCATCCCCAAGCAGCCCAGCACGCAGACGGGCAGCAAGGCGGTGAACCCACCTATTCTCTTCCGCACGCAGAGCGCGCAGGAGCACCTGGAGTGGGCCCACTACTTCGCCCAATGCTTCAACCGAAAGCTGTACCGTGAGATGTTCCCCACCGCCGTGGCGGAAGCGTATGCGGGACAAGCCTCAAAGGAGACCCAAACCGCGTCAGACACCGCAGAGCCCGCGCCCTTAGAGCGCCGCGCAGCCAACGACGAGCAGGAGGGAAAAGGCACGAGGTCCACGGTTGCATCCGAGGAGGTCATGGCCGTGGCTCCCTGCGCTGCGGCGGCGTCGCAGACGACCCCGCGTGAGCAAAAGGACGCGGCCACCAACACCGAGGAGGCGCGGTGCGGGGAGGGGGGGGCCCTCGCAGTCACCCCTCCACCGCCGCCCACTGCCCCGCCGAAGCGCAGCGTCATCGGCGGCGCGGAGGTGACTGAAGTTGTTTACCACGCTGTAGAAGAGCCGCCGCGCGGGTCTGCGGTGAACACGAAGGAGGTGGCAACGATGGTGGACGTGCCTGCAGAGGAGGCCGGCGCCGACCACGCGCCGTGGGGGGAGCTTGTCACGGAGCTGCGGGGGATGCTGGAGAGCAGAACCGCGGAACTCCAAGCAGTTGAGCAGGAGTCTGAGGAGTTGCGCCTTCGCGTGCGGCAGCTGACACAGGAACTGCGGCAGTTGAACAGTGACCGTGACAACCTCCGCAAGGAGGCGGAGGAGGTGCATGCGACGTGTGACGCGGAGGCACGACGGGCCCAGGACGCAGAAAGGGACCTCCAGCTGGCTCGGGAGGCTGCACGCGCAGCGGAGGCAGCCAGGCAGGAGGCCGTGACGCGCGAAAAAGGCAAGGCCGCACGCGTCAAGAAGCTGGAGGAGGAGATGGCATGCATGCAGCACGAACAGGCGGTACTCGCGGCGGAGCTGCTGGCCCTGAAGGACGGCTACAGTGAAGGGCTGCGCTGCCTGGCAAAAAAGGCTCTCGGAGACATTGACCAGATGCACGATGTCCTCACTGCGGGGGAGTACCTTGCTGCACTGCGGGGAGGCGACGGCGGACCGCCACGCACGGGCGACGCGAGCTTCAGTAGCGAGAGCTCGGAGGAAGCCAGCAGCCACCATACGCTGAGCCCCCAGCGGCACCGGGCGCAGCTTCTGCATGCACCGCCACCCGCCGCCTCGTTGCGGCAGCCTCCCTCCGCGTCTCCGCGGCAGGGGAGGAAGAAGCAGCAGCGGAGGCCCAAGCTGCCCCACGCAGCCTCACAAAACTCGAGTGTGCAGGAACACAGCTCTGCATCGAAGGCAACGCCAAACGCGCGCGCGCCTGCGGACGCAGCTGGAGGAGCCCTGGGACTTGCCATGCTGCTGATTTCCTTTGTGCCCCACCAGCTGGCTATTGACGGGTGCTTCACCGTGGACGAGTCGCAGGCACGTCTGTTGCGGAGCGGCCCGTCGGCGACGCGGCGCGGGCGAGAGTGGGTGATGCTGCACCACGACACCAACGCCGTCTTCGCCGTGACGGCGGAGCTGCAGCCTGAAAAAGAGTCCCGCCGCAGGGCAGCGAGTAAATCCCCGGCAGTTTGCCCCGGCAGCTCGCGACCGTCACGCGAGCGGCTTCCTCGCGCAGTTGCCGGGGCGAAATCCGCTGCGCGCACAGCACCACCACCTACGGAGGAGGAGTAGTGGCATTTTGTTTTGCCTTTTTGCATGATTTTTGCATTTCTTTGCGCAAGGAGGATTATGTTGGGAATGAGTGCCTTCATTCATTTTTTTGTTGCTGCTCCTTTGAAAAAAGAGGAGGAAGAAAAAATAAATTGGGGGCATCCCCTGCTGCTAGACAGAGTGCGTGTATGTGAATATATGTGTGCGTGTGTGTTTTCATTTCTTTTTTTTTTCTAGACAAGAGTGGCTGCTTGGAGCCTTGGGCGTGGCGCTAGGCATACATTTTTGCTTCTGCGCCTCCCCACCCTCTCTCTTCTCTCTCTCTC